CAAACTTTGGGTCTTACCTACAAGCCAAAAATAAATACATCTTAAAAACATTTAACATGATCATCTAAAAATGAATACTCCATTGAAAATTTTTTCTCATACTTCACGAGTTCCTATGATATGGAGCCCTGATTTCTCAGTTTCTACATGTCTTTTTCCAGCAAATTTCTTTCTTTTTGAGACATGTTCATTGAACAATTCATGATAAAACAGCTTCTATGCTTCAGACACTGGCCTGGGTATTGGGGTATAAAATTGACCAAGAGGCAGGCTCTGCTGTCAAACTGTTCCCAGTCTAAGCAGAGGAGAGAGCGACCTTGAACGACAGCTCCAGTTCAGTAAGACCAATGCACAAACTGAAGCATGCTTCACTGGAAGAAAGCCACAGCTTGTTGCTGAGGATTGGGGAAATCTGAATTTGGTGTTTAGAACCCCTCCCAAACACCTCCCACAGAGTGCAAACACCTCGTTTAACTTCTTCTTTCACTCAGACTTCTCTTTTCGTATGTTGACGTGTAGCTGGAATTCAAAGGAAATTACATTATGAGCAAAACGAAGTATCTAACTAAAGCAGAACTGTGAGTGGGTATCGTCTATTCTCCCATACTCATAGGATATGTTATTTTTAAGTTGTTGTTAAATTAAGTCCTCATTTCTGGTACATCATAAATTGTATCATCCAGGGGCACTTGGTGGCCCAGTCATTTAAGCGTCCGACTTCGGCTCAGGTCGTGATCTCATAGTTCATGGATTTGAGCCCCACATTGGGCTCTGTGCTGACAGCTCAGAGCCTGGAGCCTGCTTCGGATTCTGTGTCTCCCTTTCTCTCTGCCCCTTCCCCCCCTCAAAAATGAATAAATATTTTTAAAATAATTTTAAAAATAAGTACATAAATTGTATCATCTAGTTTTCCAAACTGATTCATGAGATCACTTTTTTAACATCCCAGGTAAACCTTCATTTTGTACCTATTTAAATTCTTTGAAGGCAAGGAAACTGATCTATTCAATATATTTTTTATCGAAGTGAATCCTTCCACATTGAACAGTTTCTCAATAAAAACATATTGGGTGAGCAATAGAGAAATGGCACTGAGTGCTCAACAGAATGATTTCTCGAGTCTTAGGGATCTGGGTTCAAATCTCAACTTTGCCTCTCCCAGGCTATATGGCTTTAGCCAAGTTACTTAGACATTAGTCTCCTCACCTGTACAATGGAAATGTTGCAAAGATTAAATAAGATAAATTACTTAAAGGATTTAGCACAGCAGCTAGCTTATAGTAGATGCTCAAAAAATGGTAACCACATAAACAGATTTCACAGTTTGTAGACAATACTGTGAAGTCTTTCTGGCATAAAGTTATCCTGGGCACCATCCTTCCCAGCAACAGTGCTTTGCAGAAGAAAATCACTGCAAATGAGCCCATGAAGGCCACAAGAAACATAGTTAGGCATGGCTCCTCATGACACTGAGGCCACACTGCTGACTTCAGAACAGCTCTGCCACATAATAGTTGCATGACCTTGGGCAAGGCCCTTTGCCTCTCTTGTACCTCAGTTTCCTCATCTGAAATGTAAGGATAATAGATGTGCCTACTTTGTAGGGTTGTTATAAATATTAAGTGCATTAATGCTTACATCTGTCCAGTGCTTACGACTGTCTTTGCTCTGGGTTAGTGCCACAAGTGTGAGCTACTGTGATAGAGATGAGTCAATAAATGAAAATTGCTGGGAATTATTTCATGGTAATAAATACCATGTCCAGAAGACAAGATAGCTCTCCAAAGGATTCCTGGGCTGGGACTCCTGACTCTCCTGTTCTCTCTTGTACCTGAGTCTTTCTCCTTTCCACCACAGCTCTCTGTAGCCCTTTCCTTTCCTGCCCAAGCATCCCGGTCCTTCTCTTTCCCGCCACCCCGATTCCTGCGCTTTCACCCAGCCTCACAGGCCACCCCATCCCGAAGCCACTCTTGGGATCCGCCCTGCTGCGTGAAGTGCCTGCTACATGGTGTCCATTTATCAATAGCGGTTTTCTCAATAAACCTCTAGGAATGAGATTGGGTTGGGACATGGCTTCGTGGAGTCTAGGTTATTTATTGCATGGAGGTTATTTATTGCATGGAAACCACTACTCTCTCCCTCTCTCTCCTTTTTTAAGCTATGATTGAATATAAACATCCAAATCAGTAGTATGTTTTCAAAGACATCCAAAGACATTTAGGTTTATTGGCTGGAATTAACCCCTAATCAGAGAGAAAGGGATGTTGAGGTTACTAAACCCAATATTGCCCACAGTACAATTTGTCCAGGCCCCACTGTAGCTCTGGTAAATTTGTCTAACCTCCCTTTTGCTGGCTTAGGTAAGCCTGCCTTCAGACTGCTACATGGGATCAATGAGATTTGGGGCTTTGCTGTTAGGCAAGCCTGGATCTGAATCCCAGGTCATCCTTTTACCAGCTGTTTGACTGTGGGAAAGTCACTTCTTCTCTCTAAGCCTCAGTTTTTCATCTGCAAAATGGGGATAATGATACTATCTCAGAGGGTCGTTAGGATTGAATGAGATCATGTTTGTACAGTGGCTAGCTGCTATATGGTCAGCTCCATGTGCTCTTTTTTTTTCTTAAAGTCAAAAGTGGCAAGACTCTGAGGCAAGGAAATTTAGGTCTTATTTAGAATTTAAAAATTGCAAAGTGCCAGAATCATGTATTTTCTATCCTTCTCTTAACCATCATTTCTATTTAAAGACAGAGGCAGCAGATAAAGGAGGAAACCTGAACTGTAAAATGTGAGCAGTTATCTTGCACAGAAGAAAAGCAGGGGAGCGCCTGTGTGGCTCAATTGGTTAAGTGTCCTACTCTTGATCTCAGCTCAGGTCTTGATCTCAGGGTCATGAGTTCAAGCCCTGTGTTGGGCTCTACTCAGGCACATTTCATAGTCAATGCCATTGACTGTTGAGTCCAAGATTTTGAACTTGACAAAATTCTTGAACCAGCGTTTCTAATGTTATATTTTGCCACCCAAAATTTTTTATCTCCAATACAGTTATTTCACAAAACAGGCAAGACATAGGGAGAAAGATATTCCTTATTACTACCCAGAGATCTTAAACTGCATCAGGGAAAAAAGTAAATGGAGGGACATTCATATATTATTGTTTGTCGTGCTTTAATATCAATAACCATAGTCAAGACATCTAACAGCCTTGCCAGAGAAAGATTTCCATGGTCCTCTCTTCACTGTTAACTTGGCAACCAACCCAGGCACCAGTGCATATCGCTGTTAGCATCTAGAAAAGGACCCTTATTTACTGAAGTGTATATCAATACTGATATTAATAATCATGGTCACATACACATAGTACCTACTATGTGCTAAGTTCCTGACACATATAGTTTTTAATCCAGATGTATGAGGTAACTGGAAGAAATTTAATGTCTAAAAACATTTATAGGGAATTCTGGCTTCAGGTGTAGTTCTGCAGCCAACAAAAGGGAACATTTCTGAACAAAGCATGTCTTTAAAATGACATATCAAAGAATCTTAACATATTACAACAAAGACTTTTCAAAGAGTCACAGAGAAAAATGCAAAAATTATGGAAGATATAAATTGTAGACATGAAAATTCTGGAAGGCAGGAATTGTGAAAATGTCACTATGAATTTTGACTATGCTTTTTCCTAGGGATATTTTCTAGATTTGCTGTTATAGGCAATAATCTGAGAGAATTACTCTCACTGACTAAAAACTATTTATTACTGTAAGTCTATAAGCTTGACAAACCTAATTCTTTCATACCCATTTTCTAGTGGAGCAGCCTCACTTATTAGAGATTTAGTCTTCTATATATTTTGTAATCTGTGGAGTTTAAAATGTGAACATACAAACTTAATAACAGCAATTTTCACTGCAAAATGTTTCATTCACTTGCTCTTGTCTGAATACTAGCCCCAGCAACCAGGAAAGAAATGTCCACATTAATTATTACTGGTTCTCAAAGAGAACGTTGGCGCCTGTTGCAAAGAATCCACTTACTCTTCTGTGTGTCAATTTGTATCTTTTCCAAAGGATGTTTCAAAGTAGAGAGAGATACTCTGCTAAAGAGCATTATCAGCTGTGGGCTTCTTTATTCTCCAGCACCCACTTATAACTCTCACTGTCACAAATGCATTACTAACCCTATTTCAAGTTACACTTACTCTAAGAAAATCTTGGTATACTGGACAAAGTTCAGCACGATGAGTCAGAAACCCAAGTCAGAGAGTGGGTTTCTGCTGTCAACCTCTGTCACAGTCATGTGACCTTGGGCAGGCACCCAGCTTCCGGGTCTCAGTCTCCTCTTCTAGAAATGGGGTATTGAGGCCAGGAGCCCTGAAGTCCCTTCCAGCTTTAAATCAAAACAGAATCAGGCAGTAATGTGTGCTGCTTAACCCCCTCTGAGGTAGAACATTTTAGGCTAAAATGTTAAACCAATGAAGGACCTAAAACAGACACATTAGGGGCTCATTCGATTAGGGATTTGGGCTTGTGAAAGAATGTACTCAATTTAGTTCACTTCTGACATGCTGAGCTCACTTGGGTCATTGTGAGAGTATTTGTTCACCTAGGTGTTGCCCACAGGATACCAACCAGCCCTGTGTGTGAATTCACACAATGACATGACATACACCCAACATTAGGAGATAAACAGTGCTAACAAAATTCTATTTATTGATTCCATACCAGAGAGACTAAGCGTTTTTGATTAAAGTTGTCCCTATTTCCTAATCTTTAAAATCACTTCCTATTACCTTAGCAATACATTATACAAATTCACTCAGAATGGTGAATGAAGAGATTTGAGCCTGATTTCAGAAAAAAAGATAAGCTTCTTTATGCACCTGTTCTAAGAAGGTGGCTCATGAAATAAGCTACAATTGCTGTGTCATTATATCAGCTTTTCTTTAATCCTTCTCTTTTTTCCTTTCCTCAAGAAAAGTAAATAAACAATTAGGAGGAGGAGGGGGATTTAAGTAACAAAGGAATAGTCTCTGAGTAACCTGCATCAGAGAAGAGGGTAAGTCTTCTAGCATAAAATACGCATGTGACTCACACACACACAAAAATGCTCTAAGCCATTACTTAGGTTTTGCTTAGGCCCCCACCTCCCAGATCCTGCAAACTGGAACAAACAAGATCAAACTGCGCTAATGCTTGAGTAGATCAATTCACCTTTAAGAAACAGAATGCCATGGAACATGTGCTGGCTCCCCTTGCAACGGCCTACAGGCTGTGATGCTTTCCTGTGTCAGCCTAATAGGTTTGACATAAACCATTCCCAAAATGAGTGGGGGTGGAGAGTCCAAAGCTGGACACCGATCATCCCCAACACTATTTTCAGTGATACCCTTATACGTGGAACTTCTGCTTACCCTCTTCACAAGGTAGCCCTCCCTGATCCGCTTTGGCTCCATGTCGAATGGACAAACAGACGGCCGAGTCCGCTCTGAGACAAGTCTTGTTAGAAGCTCAGCCTCCTCTGAGAGCTGAGGCAGTTGTGGGCTGCTTTTCTAGAGCGAGGTCCCTTTCACAATTTCCCATCTGCTGGCGATCGTGTGATCACATCCTCTTCCCCTCACTGGGGTGGAAGACCAGAATGAGGAACTGCAGAGAGAAACAACCCATTCTTTGCTAACACTGCAGACTTCTTAAAAGTGCAATGGGGTTGAATATTTACCCCAGGTAAATTTTTATTACCATAAACAAAACCATTCTTCTAAAGAGGAAAAAAAATGGTGAGAGGAAGAGGAAGATGAACAAGAATACCTCATTTTGTTTAGTTCTTACAAGAAACCCATGGGGAAATGATATTATTGTCCTTTTCTTACATATAAGGAAACTCGGCCTCAGAGAAGAAAGTGGTTGTCTCAAGGTCACACAGCAGATTAAGAGGTGGAACCAGAAGGGTAGGGAGGGACCTCACTAGGTCTACTGCCTCCCATCTGATCTGAGACCTGAGAATGCTAACCCACAGTAGGCACGTCAAAGGAAGTCCAAAAGCAAACATACTTGAGCAATTGTCCCTGATAGTCCCAGTTTTGTGACTCCCCTTCAGATGAATCAATTAAAGACCCTCCCAAAGTCCTGCAGCAGAGTCCTACTGTAATGATATTCAGTCCTGTGTTTCCCAAACTTATTTGGCCACAGAATTCCTTTTTGAACAATTTGTATTGCCATTCATGTTATGGGTTGAATTGTGTTCCCCTCAAAGAAGTCCTAACCCCCAACACCTTAGAATGTGACCTTATTTGGAAATAGATGTAATTAGGTAAGATGAAATAATACTGGAGTGGGGCGCCTGGGTGGCTTAGTCGGTTAAGCGTCCGACTTTCGCTTAGGTCATGATTTCGCGGTTCGTGGGTTCGAGCCCCGCGTCGGGCTCTGTGCTGACTGCCAGCTCAGAGCCTGGAGCCTGTTTCAGAGTCTGTAACTCCCTCTCTCTCAGACCCTCCCCTGCTCACGCTGTCTCTCTCTCTCTCCTAGAAATAAATAAAACATTTTAAAAAATTAAGAAAAAAAAAGAAAGAATACTGGAGTAGGTGGACCCTTGATCCGATATGACTAGTGTTTTTTTTACGTTTAACGTTTATTCATTTTTGAGAGACAGAGACAGACCATGAGCTGGGGAGGAGCAGAGAGAGACACACACAGAATCCGAAGCAGGCTCCAGGCTCTGAGCTGTCAGCACAGAGCCCGATGCGGGGCTTGAACCCACGAACCGTGAGATCATGACCTTAGTTGAAGTTGGATGCTTAACCGACTGAGCCACCCAGGTGCCCCTGACTAGTGTTCTTATAAGAGCAACACACATAGAGAGAAGACAGCCATGTAACAGCCAGGGAATGCCAAGGATTGCTGGCAAATACCAGAAGCTCAAAGAGGCAAGCACAAGCAAGGACTCTCCCCTGGAGTAGTCGTAGAGAGCATGGTCCTGCCAACACCTTGATTTCAGACTTCTAGCCTTCAGAACTGAGACAATAAATTTTGGTTGTTGTTTGTTGTTGTTTTTTTTAATTTTTTTTAATGTTTTTATTTATTTCCAGGAGAGAGAGAGAGAGAGACAGCGTGAGCAGGGGAGGGTCAGAGAGAGAGGGAGATACAGACTCCAAAACAGGCTCCAGGCTCTGAGCTGGCAGTCAGCACAGAGCCCGACGCGGGGCTCAAACCCACGAACCGCGAGATCATGACCTAAGCGAAAGTCGGACGCTTAACCGACTAAGCCGCACAGGCGCCCCAAATTTTGGTTGTTTTAAGCCCCATTTGTGGTATTTTGTTGGAGCAGCCCCATGAAATTAATATAATTCAGAAAAACTGGTTTTCCATAGAAAAAAACTTTAAGAAAAAAAAGAAAAAACTTTAAGAATGTTAATTTGACCATGTGAAAATGAGCAGACTATTTAATCACTCTATGCCTCAGTGTTCTCATCTGTAAAATGAGGATAGTAACATCTGTTCAATTGAATCATTCTGAAGATTAAATAAGATAATATGTGGGGGCACCAGCCTGGCCTGCTTAGTAGAGCATGCAACTCTTGATCTCAGGGTTGTGAGTTTGAGCCCTACATTGGGTGTAGAGACTGCTTTACCTTTTTTAAATTAAAAATAAAAAGATAATATGTGTGTTTTTAAAAGTATCTGGAACATAGTAAGTGTCCATAAACGTTATATTCCCCATTTCCAGGGAGTATCCGTTATTTTAGGGCTGATCTTTTTCAATGATAAGTTTAACAGAGGTTATGGAAGTAATCAAAGGACTAGATGTTTTTTACTAGCCCCTTTTCTTCATTCCATTCTTTGGCTGCAGTAAGAGAAACCAACTCCAGCTAATTTACTGGAAGAATATGGGGTGGCTCACAGACTTGAAGAAAAAAATGAAGACTAGATCTTTGGAAAAACACAAACCAGGACAGCTGTGGTTCCACAAAGCAAGAACTAATGAATCGTTTCTTTGAGACATGAAACAGAATCCCATTGGTTTTTAGGCTCTACAAGTCCCCAGAGACAGGGCCTTTGGTGTAGCTTGGCTCACTGCTTACCTCTCTGCCACTTGAAGAAGGAGCCTGTGAACTGATAGCCCATCAGGACAGTGCCCAGTGGGGCAGGGGCTCATCCCCCAAAGTAAAATTGAGGCACTATTAACAGAAGAAGAGTGAAAGGCCCCTAGGCAGGCCAAACCAACTGATAACCACGGAAGGCATCTGAGGAACCAGGAAATTTAGGAGCAGGAAGAAGATCTGTACTTGGGGTTTTCTTAGAGCCTCCTGATGCCCTCTCCTCCTTCCTTCCCGCTCTGTATCTAACCTGGGGTCATTGGCCCTCTATTTTTCACTTTTCATTTTATGCTGATGCAGATCATGTACAATTATAGATGGTTTTCCATCAGTGTCTCATTGCACCAAGATCAGTAAGAAATTATTCAAAATTTGGGAGGAGTAGGAGTGGAAGAATCAACATTCAATGGCACCCGAGCAAAACAGAGACAAATAAAGGCATGGTTTGCCGTGTCTGCATTTAAACAAGTATTTTGCTATGTCTGTGTCTGTATAGGCAATGGACACGATTCGTGGATTTTCCAAGTCTGATTCCATGGCTCAGTTGATCTCCTTTTGTTTAATTCATCAAGTGACTTCTAATTTATAATGTTTTCTCCCTTTGTCTTAATATGATGACAGGTCTTGAAGAAACCTTACACAGAAATGTCATATTATCTGGATGCCCACAATGTAAAAGCACCCTCTGCATTCTGAATAATTCATTTCAAGAAATACATGTCGAATGCTTACCATGTGCCAGGTGCTGGACTAGGTAAAGATGTCTTGCCACCAAGAGCACCTCAAAGTTGTTGAATCTGCTGAATGTACCCTGAATGGATTACATGCTGCCTTTCCTGCTTCTCCTCTGCCCGCCACAGGTCATCATGCCTGCTTAGCAACACCTAGTGGTCAACAAAGGGAACTGTCTGAATCAATGACATGTTTAGGTCTTTCTTTTCTTACCAGTTAGAGCAAATGTTCTTCTGCCCTGTCAGATCTCGTTCCCAGATCAAATAATTACAACCTCTTCTGATGTCTTTTTCATGTATGTGTGTCTAGATTACTTTTAAAAATCTCTTCTGTGAAGAAGATGTGGTTTATCTATACCATGGAATACTACATGGCAATGAGAAACAATGAAATCTGGCCATGTGTAGCAACATGGATGGACCTTGAGGGTGTTATGCTGAGCGAAATAAGTCAGGCAGAGAAGGACAAATACCATATGTTTGCACGTACGGGAGGATTAGGAGGAACTTGACGGAGGACCAAGGGGGAGAAGAAGGGTGGAAATGGTGGGGGAAAGGGAGAGAGGCAAACCATGAGAGACTCTTGAATGCTGACAAAAACTGAGGACTGATGGATGTGGGGGGGAGGGGGGGATGGGCATGAAGGAGGGCACTTTGGGGATGAGCACTGAGTGTTATGTAAAAACTAATTTGACAATAAACTATTTGTAAAAAAAAATAAATAAATAAAAAAAAAATAAAATGGATTGTTGATCCAAAAAAAAAAAAAAAATCTCTTCTGTACTCCTTTTAATTATCACATTTGACCAATACCTGGAAACATTCTTGTAGTACATTTTATCCCTGTAAGGAAAACTTAAGACTTTGGAATTTGAAAAAAATAAAAAAAAAAGATGACTGCATATCTCCAATGATCTTTCAAAACAAAATAATATTCAGTCTAAATGCTTCCTTTCTTTGGGATCAAATAATATGAACAGGAACAGAATTTATCCCAACTTAAACTTTGAAATATATAGATCTCTCTTTTTAAGGGTGACAAGTAAACAGAAAAATCAGCAGATGTGAAAAGAGTTGATACTTACAAAGGGAACGCATTCTTGAAGAAGCTGGACCAAGTCAGGTGCAATCACAAAGCCCCTACTTTTTCTCAGTGCTCCTCACTCTGACAATCTATTCTTTCTGAGCCCCTTGGATGAAATCTTGGTCAGGTTCCACAATATTTCCCAAGAACTCTTAGCTTAAAAATCCAAATCAGTCTAGTGATCATATAAGTCTAGTCCAGTAATATAAAATACTCCAAACAGGGGCGCCTGGGTGGCTCAGTTGGTTAAGCATCTGACTTCGGCTCAGGTCAGATCTCATGGTTCATGGGTTCGAGCCCCGCATCAGGCTCTGTGCTGACAGCTCAGAGCCTGGAGCCTGTTTCAGATTCTGTCTCCCTCTCTCTCTGCCCCTCCCCCACTCATGCTCTGTCTCTCTCTGTCTCAAAAATAAAAAAAAACTATAAAAAATTTTTTAAAATACTCCAAACATTCTTTTCTTAGTTGACAGTCTTTCCTCACCTCCGGTTTGAAAACTGGAATGAAAGAGGAAGATTAATTATCAGCTTCTCACCTTATCCTAGCTCCTTCTCCAACCCTATTTGCTAAGTTGGACTTTACGATATCTCCAGGGTCTAAGGAACAGATGAATATGGTGAAAGATATATCATCAGAGCTGTCCCTCAGGAGAACATCTGGGACAGCTGCCTTAGCTCTTGTGCTTGGGGGGAGGGGAGAATCTATTATGTACCATATTTTAATTCCTCATTTTTCTACATTGTTAAAATTTAATTTGAAAAATTATTTTCATGATAACCTAAGGGAACATGAAAGATGCCCTAGTATGCAGACTCCTTTCAAGTAGACTCATCCTAAGTAGCCTTACTCATTCAGTTGCTCCAGGTCCATAGCCCAGTTGGGTCAGCCCTGAACTAGGTCTTGCCTTGCTGGCACAGCCCTGACTGGCCTTGGTACCCCTGAATGGCAGATACACCATGGCTGGCACTGGACCCAGCTGCCTGAGCTCTAATCCTAGCTCCACTATTTCTTAGCTATGTGATTTGAGCAAGTTACTTGACTTCTTTGTAACTAACTCAGTTTCCTTGTTTATAGCACTAGGGTAATAATAGTTCCCACCCCATAAACTTGCTACGAGAAGTAAATGAGATAAAGTATGTGCAGTTCTTAGATGAATGTCTGGTACATAGTAAGTGCTTACTAAATACTAGATATTATTAGTTTTTTTAAGGTTAAAGTATTAATGACAACCTGAAAAACTATTTGGAATAAGTATAAAATACAAAAAGTTACTATTCATAACATAGGAAGAATGCTTATAAATCTAATAGAAGAAGAAAATCAAGGGGCATCTGGGTGGATCAGTTGGTTGAGCATCTGACTTTGGCTCAGGTCGTGATCTCACAGTTTGTGAGTTCAAGCTCTGCATTAGGCTCACTGCTGTCAATGAAGGGCTCGCTTCATATCCTCTGTTCACGCCCCCCCCCCCCTCCGCTGCTTCTCTCTCTCTCTTTCAACAATAAATAAACATTTAAAAAGAAGAAGAAAATCCACAGGAAAAAATGATCAAATGATATGAAAAAGCATTCTACAAAATAAGTGAAAACTACTAGTAAAGAAACAAATGCCCACCTCAGTTGTAATAAAAGAAATGCAAACTTAAAACAAATACAATGTGTCATATGTTGCCCTCAGATTTCAAATCATTTTCATATTGGTAAGAGCGTGAGGGCACTCCCATATACTATTAGTGAAAATAGAAATTAACAAATTTCTAAATATAGAGCAATGTGCTAGTACCTCCCAAATTTTAAACACATGCTCTGAGACAGACTAACTACATATCCCAAGGATCATACACTTCCTATACTTGCTTATCCCAAGAGGGTTGTTGATCCTTCTTAAAAAGTGCCCACTCATTCTCCAAGCTTTCATTTGTGGTCTGCACCTCAAATTCTCTGATTCCTCTCCAAAACCTGTCATGAGATCATGCATCTTTAAATTAATAAACAGATTTGTCTGCTTAGTAGTGAAATTAAATCTATTCTTCATTTGAAAATCTAAATCCAGGCCATGGTATACTTTTTCTGTAAAAAGCCAGACAGTAAATGTTTCCAAGACTAAGAGTCATACAATCTCTGTCACAGTTACTCAGCTCTGCTATTGTAGCAAAAAAGCCACTACAGACAATATGTAAATGAATGAGTGTAATTGTGTTCCAATAAAACTTTATTTGTGCACACTAAAATTGAGCTTCATATCATTTTCCTGATTTTTTCAACTATTCTTCTGATTTTTTCAACTATTAAAAAGTGTAAAAAAGATATTGGAAGCTTGCAAGTCATACAAAAATAGGTGGCAAGCTCACTATAGCCCACGAGGCAGTTTTTTTGTTCTTTGGTTTTTTGACCTCTAATCTGAAAGATTAATCTGGTTATTGAGCTACCATATGAGCCTTTCTTCCCAACTCTAAACCACAACAGAAAAATTCTTAATAAATTTCTAGCATGTTTCTCAATATTTCATGGCATGCGTATATTACATGTATTACAGTAAACCCACAAATGGCTTGTGGTTTGGGGAAGTAGGTGGCATTCCTTATAGGTTATTCCAGTTCTAATGTACTTATGAATATACTTGTGGATTTTTTAGATTCTAAAAATATATGAACTTGTAAACATTTCAAAAGGTACAGAAAAAAACTGAAATAGAGAAATGAAAGAGGGTGAATTAATGTTTCCCATCAAAACCAGTGATTTTTTTATTTCAATAGGGTTGTTTTCATTCCATCAGAGCAGGTAGATGCCAAAGTCTCAGACCTGTGTCCTTCCATCGGCCCCTGCACAGAAGTGCCTGGAAGTGTGCACCAAGTATTTCATGAAGTGGGGAAGAGGAGTAAGGGAGGGAGGTTTCACCTTATATTTTAATCACTTCTACATCATTTGAACATGTTATCATATGCATGTATTAATACAGTAATTTTGTTTAAATTCAATAAGCATCTAGTTTTTAATGATTTACCCAGAGTTGTCAAGAATATGGTAGGAGAGTAAATCTGTCCCACCATTTGAGAGGGCAACTAGATAGTGTGTATCAAAAGCCTTAAAAAATACAACCCCTTTGACTCAACAATTAGAATTTTCCCTCCTAAGGAAATAATTATAGCTGGGGGGGGGGGGGCGTGTGGAATAGCCATGAGGATGTTCTTTACAGTATGGTTGATAATAATGAGAAGTTGAGGGGGGCATCTAAATATGTGAGAATAAAAGCTTGTTTAACTGACTTATGAATCACGTGTAGAATAAAATAAATGGCATTCAATAGGAATACGTGGAAAAAAGCAGGACACAAACTAGTTGGAGATTGTATGTGCTAGTTTTTATATAGTGAACATAGAACTTTTATTGGGCTGAAAATGGGTTGAGTCCTGTGATGACCTAAGTGCTGAGGATTAAACTGTCAAATTTTTCACACAGACATGTTTCAAAATGGCCCATAAATATTTCAATAGTTATAGGTACTGAGCATTGGGGATTTTACAGTATAGCTTTGGTGTCCAATTAACAGATGAATGGCATTAACAAATGTCAAAGTGCCCACTGCCTTGGTGTAGCTTTAGCAAACCCAAGGCTCCAGAAGGCTCAGCACAGCTTTTCAGGCGTTCTGGCCCATCAGCACTTCTCCTGGCAGCAACACCCTCAGCTGGACTCTGCACAGACGACATGCTCTCAGAGCAGAGAGCAGAATCCTCGATGTCAGGCATGCGCAGCCTGGATGCAGCACACAGCACCAGACATTCCCCGCCCCCCTCGCACCCCTGCAATGGCCTCAGGATTTGCAGGAGAGAATCTAAGGAAAACCAACAGGGAAAACCCACAGTAACTGACAAGGCCATGTCTGTGAGTCCATGTGAGTCATCTCCTGCAGAATCTTCAAAATACACAGGGAATCAGGGAAGAGAGCCAGAACTCCCATCACAGAAGGCCTATGCACAGCTGAAAAACACCATGTGCCACTGACAATGAGATCTGGGTTTCCCCCCAGACTTGCGGGGCCCTGGACACTCAGTTTCTATATCTGCATTACGGTCACTGGATACCAAGGGTATCTTCAGTCTTCAACTTGTTCAAACAAGTTCTTTCCTAAAATGGGCCTCTGAAGATACAGCTGCTTGGAGTTCCAGTTGTCACCCATCCTTCTTACATTTCCTGCCCACTTCCAGATGAGCTAAG